TCAGAAGTTTAGTCTCAACTGTAACAGCTAATTACTGTCACTCCCTTGTAAGACTCTGGGAATCCTACAGATTTACCGAGCAGAGGCTCCAATAAAGTTTTGGAGACTTTATTTGTGCTAACAATGCAGGGCAATATACTCTAGGTTTAGAAGCTTACTTCTGGCTCACAGATGAATTAAAACTTTTGGTCAACTACAATGTTTAGTTGGACAGCCTCATTTGCACTAGGATTTGTTTCTAAAAATAACCATGCCAGTTAGAAGATGCAACTTTCAAAAAGTTTTAAATCATCTTTATTTTGGACAATACTTGAGATTCTTCTTAAACCCCAAATCTGTGGTAGTTAATACAAACTCAGAGATACGAGTCCATAAATTTAGCATTCTAAGCACACTAAACAGTAGTTCACAGAGCATGTACAAATCACAGAAGACTGTCAACTGCTGTTTGAAATGTTTTATCAACATTAGCATGAAAATAACTACTAACACCCAGTGAGACATACACACAGTATTAGCTGCTAAATGATGTTTAATGTGAGATACAAGATGATATTAAAAAAAAAATCAACAAGAAAACCCAAAAAAAGAAACTAAAGGACACTTTGCGAGAACAGACAGATCTTCCCTTGCAAGAATCTATATAGAAGTTCCACATCATATAGCGCATGGGACAAAGGCCACACTGAGGAGCATCTCACAGAAACACAGAACCATTTAGGTTGGAAGGGACCACCTGAGATCATCTAGTCCAACCCCCCTGCTTAAGGAAGGTCAGCCAGAAGAGATTATTCAGGATCACTTCCAGACAGGTTTTAAACATCTCCAAGAATGGTGACTCCACAACTTCTCAGGCAATATCTTCCGATGTTTGACCACCTTCACAGTTAAAAAAAAGATTTCTTGTGTTCAGAGGGAACTTCATGTGTTTCAGTTTGCGCCCACTGCCTCCTGTCCAGTCAGCTGGGCATTAAGAAGAACAGGCTGGCTTCCCCCTCTTCAAGGCTCAGATTCCTCTGAGTTTTCTCTTTTCCTGTCTGAAGAGAGCTTCCGCAACTCTCTTAGTATGAAATATACTCCAGTCCTTTAATCATCTTCATAGCCCTGCAAGACACTCCCTCAAGTAAGTCTGTAACGCTCTCTAGAGAGCCCAAAACTGAACACAGTGCTCCAGGTGTGTCCTCACCAGCATTGAGTAGAGCACTCCCTCAACCTGCTGGCAGTGCTTTGTATACTGCAACCCAGGATGCTATTGGCCTTTGTAGTTGGGTTGACCCTGGGTGGACACCAGGTGCCCACCAAAGCTGCTCTATCACTCCCCTTCTCAGCAGGACAGGGGAGAGAAAATATAACAAAAGGCTTGTGGGTCAAGATAAGGACTGGGAGAGATCATTCACCAATTACTGTCACAGGCAAACCAGACTTGACTTAGGGAAATTAGTTTAATTTATTACCAATCAAATCAGAGTAAGGTAATGAGACAATAAAAACTAAATCTTGAAACACCTTCCCCCCACCCCTCCCTTCTTACTCCTGAGTTCTCTACCTCCTCCCCCCCAGCAGCACAGGGGGACGGGGAATGAGGGTTGCAGCCAGGTCATCACATGTTGTCTGTGCTGCTCCTTCCTCCTCAGGGGGAGGACTCCTCACAGGCTTCTGCTGCTCCAGCATGGGGTCCCTCCGACGGGAGACAGTTCTCCGTGAACTTCTCCAACATGGGCCCTTCCTATGGGCTGCAGTTCTTCACAAACTCCAGCGTGGGTCTCTTCCATGGGGTGCAGTCCTTCAGGAGCAGCCTGCTCCAGCGTGGGTCCCCTGCATGGTCACAAGTTCTGCCAGAAGACCTGCTCCAGCGTGGGCTCCTCTCTCTCCATGGGTCCACAGGTCCTGCCAGGAGCCTGCTCCACTGCAGGCTTCCCACAGGGCCACAGCCTCCTATGAGCATGCACCTGCTTCAGCATGGGGTCCTCCACAGGCTGCAGGTGGATATCTACTCCACCGTTAACCTCCATGGGCTGCAGGGGGACGACCTGCATCACCATGGTCTTCACCATGGGCTACAGGGGCAT